AGACAAAAGATACTTAGCAGAATATCAATCAATCAAATTCAATTACGATTAATACAAAAGCTAGATCCAAGTATATCGAAATGGTATGCATGTGATATACAATATTAAATAATTCAAGCTACTCTAGAATCTTAGGAGTTTCATAATTGTAAATAAAATGTCGGTAAAAAGTATTGTAGAGTCTATCAACGATTATTATTTCGAATATGTGTAAGCGTACAATACTTAACTGTAATAAATAGAAAATACAATTTTACAATAACAGAACAAGTACTCATACTTTTTTTTTATATTAATAAACTGTAGTATTCGATCGTTGTTTAACCAGTCGACAATAAAATGTACTTGTAAAATCGATTGGAACATTCAACATGTGTGGGCTTCAATCAATTAAAAAAATGAAGGTTTTCCTATAAGAAATCTTATGTCAATGTCAATCTTTTATGAGACGAAAGTAGCAGATGGTATTTTAATCATCATTAATAAATTTTTTTCCTTCTTTTTTTCTCTTTGCCGGAAAAAGAATTCTTCCAGCAGACTATATTATTACTGATTAAGGAAACAAAATTTAGCTTAGTTATTTTATTAGAATACAAAAAAAAATGATAACAAGTATTTAATCAACAAATATTGGTGGATAATCAAAATTATTCGTTTTTGAATTATCACTAGATATTGAACTACTGCTTGTTAAATAACCATCGTCTAAAATATGTTCAATATGTTGATCAATTTGTTTTTTCTAAATAAAAAAAAATATGACTTTAAAAAAAATTAAATAATTATAAGAATATTTACTTTTTCATTAACAGCAAATTTTAATTCTCCAAATTGTTTGGTACGAACATCATTTGATAATCGTGTATTTTTATTTGTTGAGTCAGTAATATTCAATGCACTACGTACTTTTTCATATGATATATCGTCATTTACATTATCCTTCTAAATTTATAAATGAAACAAAAAAAATAATAAAGCTCTTTTATTTAACTTAATATATATAATCTTACAGGTCGATCAGTTATATCACTTATAGAATCGTCTGTGTCTGTTCCAGGATTGTTTCCACCATTGCGAACGTTAGATTCTAGGATATAAAATGCATTCACAATTCAATTATAGTAGACGAAAGAAGAGGAAGAAAAGAAGGAAGCTAAGGTTACTATATTATGTAGAAAATGATGAATGTGCTGTCGTGTTCGCTCTTTCTACTAATATGAGCACGAAGGAGATTAAATAGCAATAGTAGCTCATAGAATAATTTTTTTTTTCTTTCTATATGAGATTTGCTTTTGTTCTTATTTATTTTTTTGCTACAAACGAATAAGAAAAACGACGACAATTGAGTATTTATACAAACAGAGAAGAAATAATATACAAACAACAAAATTCAATCATGTTTACTATACAATTAATATTCTTAGCTTCAATAGGTTTAATTGGTATTATATTTAATTGGCTTTTAATATTAGCAATTCAACGAAAAACATATCATCATCAAGATCATCATCGAGTACCAAGTCCTACAACAAATATGTCATTATTAAGATCGACTCAACCAACACATGGTCAAATGATTCAACCGCCTATATTACCTGCTGCTCGTTCGTCTATCTCCACATTTGATAAATATATATTAGCATTTTTAATAAATGATGTATTCGTTTGTAATTTCATTATACCATTACGTTTCATTGATATATCCCAAGGTTTACCATGTGTATTTCTTTGTTTTATATTAAAATTTTTTGAAAAATTAACAACAATTATTGAAATCGTTATTATAAATCTTCTTATTATAACAGCCTTATCATTTTTTTATAAAAAACGTTTATCAACAACAAAATTATCATTTTTATGTTTATTTCTTATGACACCATTAATTATTATTTATTTATCAACAACATTAACCTATCTTGATATAAATGAATATGAATATGAACAACGTCCACCATCATGTAAACAAATATTTCTTTATATACATACAACAACATATAAAACTTTAAATATAATTTCTTGTATAATAACATATTTAATTATATTTATTCAATTTATTCTACTTATTCGAATGAAATATTCAATTAAAAAATATAAACAAAATAGTTTAAAAAGTGTCAATGAAACAGCAAATATAACAAAAAATATTCAACAAGAAATATTACTATTTGATCAGGTATGAATATTATTTTGTTTAGTTAACCTTCTAGGAAATAAATGTGTTCTATTACTGTTAAAAACATGCACATCTCTAGAGGAATACGAGACGAATTTAATAAGAAATATTGTTCTTGATAAATGTGTAATCTTTGCAATTCACTATAAAATTTTAAGAGTTAGATGAAAAATAGTCATTTTGACCTTGCAGTATATTCTCAAGGGACGAACATCCGGACTTAATGGCATAAATTTACTATTTCATTTTTACATAGACAAAAAAAACAACAACTAAGGTAACATTCATATATTCCTGAAGTCATTTTCAGGCAATTAGCATAACTTTAGTTATTATGAGCACGTGTTCTTCACTTGATAGTTTATTACACCAGGCAAACCGAGGAAATTATTAATTTATATACATGATTTAACTAGACTTTTTTTTCTGTATAGCACTTATTATATTCCTTTAGAAAAAAAAGAGTTTTTCCTTTCAACTAATTGCATAATGTTATCAAAGATATTCAATTACAAGATACTCTCCTTGATAGAATTTTTGTTATATTATTTAATTTCTTTTTTTTTTCTATTCTTGTTAATTACAATGATTGTATTATTTCTTTTTTTAGAATAATCTCGAAAATATCAATCGTCGTTCAATGTATTCACCTCCAACTCATAATGTTTCAACAACAGCTTCAATTGCGAGTGATATGACACCATCAGCACAACGTTCATTTCAAACATTTGATTATATAACTTATTTAGCTATTGTGGAAAATAGTCAAACATTATATAAATCAACATGGCTTCTATTATTGGTTTATTTAATTGTTCATATACCCTATTGGTTATATGAATTATCAAATATTTCATGGTCATATAAATTTAAAGATATTTATCTGCTATGTCATGTACTTAAACCATTTTGTTATATGACAACAAATGAAAAATATTGTGGACATGTATTAGCGATTCTACAATGTAAACCATTTCGTATGTTACCGAATATTTTAAGACGTAAATCACGTGTTGTTACATTGAATGAGAATAATAATCCGAATGTAAATACTTATAATAATAATAATAATAATTAATAAATAATTAACTAACCTGGTTTATGAATAATACGATCGAATCGTGATATATCGTAATGAGATAGTTTTAATGCATCAATAACTATTTTTTCAGAGAATAAACATTCCATTGAAAGAGATTTTGATAAATTTTCTTTCGTCGTAGATTGAAACGCATTTGGCGGAAGAAGATGTGGTGCAGATAACTCACGACTCTGAATAACCTATATTAGAGAGAAAATCAAATGATAATATGACAATTATTCTTATTAAAATGAATATATAGAATCAACTTGTCAGCAACATATCATTTAATAAATTACATGAATGCTTTAATTACATGATATGACAGGTATTTTTGTTGATGAAAATGATCTGTATATGACAACTATAGAATAATAATAACATATCGTCATATAAGTTTTTTCTTTGAATTTTTTCGACCGGATATTGCCACTTGGCAACATTGAATTATACAGTCCAAAGCACTCGCGCTTTTAGTGATTATCTGACATTCTTTTGACTGTTTTGTGACTACACTAGAACATTTCAGCAATTATTAACGCATTTAAAACTTTAAAAAAGAGCAACTTTTTCCTGAGAAGATGGATAGATACAACTAAAATATTCTAAAATCAGATGAGAATCAGAATAAGCCTGTTCTCGTGTGCATAAACGCTTCACTTCGATAGGAGTTGCTTAGCAATTTTCTTTCGCAGATCTATTATATATTACAAGTCTATGAATGTATCGAAATCACTTGTAATAGAGATCGAACTTCTAGAATGGTAAAATATGCCCACTCAATGATCATCATTAAGAACTTTCTGTGCTAGTAGATTAGAGTCCAGTACGGAGTCGCCGCCGAAGTCAAGTAAACTTCATGTCAATAATTCAACTATAGCGTTAAAAACTATTTAAGTTCAGTTTTGTTGTCCAATATCTTCTCTACAAAATGGTGTATTTTGCAGGATCGACACCCGCCTTAGCAAGTCTCAAAAACCAAAATAAAGTACAGAAAAAATCGGAGTCGAAAATGACTCCGACTTCTCTTTGTCTCGGTGAAGTTCAACAAGGCATCGATCTATCCTTCAAAATACATCATTTTGTAGAGAAAATCTTGAACAACAAAACTATGAACTTGAATAATCTTCAACGTTAAAGTTGAATTATTGACATAAACTTACTTGACTCCATGTAGGTCGCTATAGTAGATGTATTAAAATCTTAGCAAAACTTAATTTTAAATTCGATCTTAAAAAAGAATCTATTAAGTATTAGATAACATCAACTTACTTCATCGACATGAGTAGAAAAAGCTTCAATTCCATATAATTTCGACATTAAATTGAAATATGCTGCAATTAAAGCATGTATACAATTACAATTGATTTTCGATAATTTTTTATAATCTTCATCAATGATTGTTAACAATATTGACTAGAAAAAAAAATAATGAAAGTTAAAAAAAACACTATTTTGTTTGTTTCAACTAAATTTACTTGAATTTCAAAACAAAAATGAATAATATCAACAAGTATATCTTGATCATTAACTTCAAGTGTAACAATATTCATAAGACAATAAATAGTATAAAAAATATCTTTTGTATTATTATTCATTAATATACAATTATAAAGTTGACGAAGAAAGCGTTCACCATACTAAAATATATTGATTTATTCGAGAATTTTTGTTAAGAAATAAATCTACTTTTTTCATAAATGGCATATCAACAAGATGTGATGTTTTTGTTGCAGCTGATAAATTAAGTTGTGAAATATCTTTCGGTATTCTTAGAAAAGAAAATATGATTATACTATTGATTTAATCAAATTTTCTAATTACCTAATCTTACGTATTTTATCAGCATAATGTCTTTTATCGATTAGTAGTATAAGAATTTCTAGAATAATTAAACGAATTTCTACGACAGATGCACTCATCATTTTAATTAATGGATCAAATAATTGATGAGGAAATGTTGTTTGAGTTGATGTTGATTCATCATGGCGTTTTGCTTGATAAGTTGCTGCAACCTAAATTTGCTTTCATTGATAATAAATTTGACGTACCCAAATTTCGACAATAAGACATGCGCCAATAGCGGAAATCTTATTGGCGAAAATCGAAAACTCCATAAATTTAATTAATTAATTTGTAAATATATGTATTAAAAGTTCTATAGAAAATGTTTTTTAAAAAGAAACATAAACATACTTTTTGCATTGTTTTAAGAAGAAGTAATTGAAATTTCAAATTTACATCACTAAATATAGATTGTATGTTTTCTCACATGAATATTAATGATAATAATAAACCTTAAATGATTTTTTTTATTTTCGTTGTCTTGATTAACTATTGGTAATGATGTTATAATTATATGCATTACCTCCATTATTTGATAATCCCGTAATTTTTCCGTAAACTCTCCTGTGTGAAATAACAAAAGAAATCGTTATATGATCATATATAAATTAAAATCTTTTGATGGCATAAGAGACAAAAGCGATAACTAATTCTATTTCTAGTTCCGATATCCTTTTTCAGCATCATTTAAATAAGTAAAATATGATTAGGTATTTATTATGCTAACTTATCTGTCCCTATAACAGACATTCTATAAATTTTGTAGGTGTTTTCGTATTAATATGTTTATTGCTTACTTATTCCATCGATAACTGCATTTTGAAATTGTTGTTCATCTTGAATATATACTGATGCTTTCGAACGTCTACTTTCGTTATGAAATGATTTTTCTAAACATTTTATCAGACGTGCTAGTCCACTAAATATTGTAGATTCTAGTCGTAAAAATAAACAAAGCATATGAAAGAAAGTATTTATGTATTGTTCATACCAACTCCAGTATTTGTTGCAGCAAAAATTAAACAAATATGAATAACTTGCATAATACAAGTTTTTATACGTAACATGTCTTTTTTCTCAGAGTACAATTCAAGATGATCAAGAAGTAAATCAATAATTGAATAACTATTATAATGCTAAAAACCAAAATCAACTTTTTTTACTGAATTAAGTCAGATAACATACATTAACTGAATTCATTATTTCAGAAAATATATACTTTGGAAAATCAACTACAGTCCATAGTTCATGAAGATCTAAATGACTAAGAAAAAGGAATCAATAATGAAATATAAATTTTTGTTTGTACTTAAGAACAGGTTTTATACAAGTAGGAATATCGTTAACATGAACTCGACAAAATAAATCTTTCAAAATAGTATTAGCTAGAATATTGAGATCATTTTCAGTTAATGTTTCTGTTGTTATCGTGACTTGTTCAAGTGATATGGTTGTTATTCTATAACATATAAGAATAAAATAGTTTTTTTTTTTGTTTTAGTAATAATCAGAATTTAAAATACGATAAATCTTGGGATCGATTTTGATTTGGTACTTTCATATTAAATATAATAGATGGTATGATTTGATTCATATGTTTCCAAACATCATTATGTAATTCATCACCGGCAGTTTTTCGAATAAGTGCTTGATGACCACGAAGACCAAGATATCGAAATCTAATAAAATTATTCATAAATAATCTTTGGTGATTATTAAAATCTTTCGCACAAACACTTGTCGGAAGTATTTTCTTACATCTAAAAACTTTTCTAGTGTTTATCTACATACCTTATTTTATTGATTGGATCATTATCATGACATAATTGTGTAAAACGATCAACAAAAAATTCATAATCTCTTTGATAATTTGGTGCTTCTTGACGAATTTCACAAAATGATTCAAACTTGAATAGAAAGACTCAACGTGTTTTTTTTATTATCGTATTAAATATATTAATTAACATACTGAATGAATTGCATGTTCAATTAATTCTAAATCATCTCTTTCTTCAAGTAAAAGATGAAGTGTTGCTAAATAATGATCAATAAATGTATTCAATTGTTCACAACAAGATTTCACTGTATCATCCATTGCTTTTATACCAAGTATAACATATCTAAATGAAAATAAGATTTTTGTACTCAATTTTAATAATAATAAATTACTAACGGTAGATTTTGATGGCGTAAATAACGTGCTATTTTTTCCGACATATATCGAAATGATTTATGAAGTTTTTCAGGTTTTTGAATAGCATAAAAACGTAATCGTTCGAGATTATTTCTATCAACACTATGCTAAATAAATAAGAAAATATTTCTGATTGATTAAATAAGAAATGAATTATACTTGTGGATTTTGTGAAAATATATTATTCACTAATCGTTTATATCGTGGCACAAGATAATGACCACAACAAAAACAATTATTGCAATACTTCGACATTGAAAATTTTCTATGATAAACACATATGAAAAAAAGAACGATAGATGTTTAATGCTGTTATCTTTTACGGTAAATATCATACATAGGTGAATTGGTGAGCCCGTTATAAAGCTTCTATAAGAGGACGCTAATGTTTGTCTATTGACAAAAAAATATACCTGCAGAATCACAGAATGATTAATAAATTTTAGAATAAATATATATTTCAAAAAAACGTAACCGAAATTTCGGAAGTAAAAAAATGAATCATTTTCTCTTGATGAGTAAGAATGTAAATTGTTTCATTTCTAGAAAAATATCTTCAACTCTATAAAGTAAACGAAAATTGTTTTCTCATAACAATCAGACAAGTATTATTAAAAACAATACAAATTCTCTCCGCATTTCATTACTAACAAATAAAAGTAAAACAAACATATGAAGAAATTAATTACATCGATAGTACGATTTTTTTCTTGACATAGATATAATTTTATGTAGATTGAAGCACTTTTATATAAAGTGAAATATGTTTTTATATGAATGCATTCTGCTACCTACCGCTGATAATATTAAAAGCAATGAAAACCGTGACTAGGAAACTGAAAAATGATCCCGGCCTCGGGACCAA